TGTTTTTTAAAAAAACGTGCCTTCGATTGCATTAATTCTCCGACACTTGGGAGACCAGAGGAAGGAAAGACCCTGCGGTTCTCATGCCCTGAGAGATTTTAGTTATGCGTATTAAGGCAGCAAAGCAGGAGTGCAGAGAACAGATTTCCAGCTGCTCCAAATTGGTTCTGGTTACATATGTAGCAAAAGTGCATGAACCGTGGAGAGTGAATTTAGGCTTCCCTTGGAAGTCAGCAGGGAAGGGCATTAGACAGCGGGCTCAGTCCTGTCCATTTCTGCAGAGAATGAGGCAAGTATAGCCCTCTGGCCAGAAAATGGGGGTTCCAGAGACCCACCTCTGTTACTTTCTAGCCGCCTCCTTAGCCAAACCAGCTACTCTCTTTGAGACTAATTATCCACATTTGCTATCACGTTAACATTACCAGTCTCATTTGCTTTGGGGATCAAATGAGAAGGTGTTGAAAACATTTTGTGAACCTTAAAGTATTATTCAAACATTGGTTTGTATTCATATTTTATTATTATTATATTTATACAAATATATTTATTATATTTATACAAATATTTATACAAATATTATTCAAATTTGTATTCATATCCTCCTTCTTACTATGCTAGTGTATAGCTTTCTGAGTGTCCTCTGTTTGTGCCACAGGCTGGGCGTACAGAAATATATGTCGTGTGTGCCTCTAAAACTTGCCCCGTCTGGGTTGGGGAGACAGAGAAATAGACTCTATCATCCAGTGTCATCGGAGCTGGGTTAGAGGCCCCAGGACAGGGCCAGAGGGATGAGGAGGGGTCAGGGCAAGGACCTGGAGGCATCCGGATGGCCTTCTAGAAGCAGGTGAATTGAGCAAAGTGTTGCAGGATGCAAAGGGAAGGAGGTCCCCAGATGGAGAAGTGGAAGAAGGACACTCCCAGCACGGGACAGTGTGTGAGAAGGAATAGAAGGCAGAGAGAGCGTGGAGGGCTAGAGGCACTGACGCTGATGTGCACGTGGGTGGTGCGTGGACAGGATGCAGCTTTCCTAGAGGGACTAAGGCAGGCGAGTCGGCCGGGAGCAAATCACACAAGTTTCTCAGTTGTGGAGGCAATAGGAAGCCCTTGGAAGTTCTCACAGAGATGTGGTTGCTTGGATATATGACGGGGTTTGGCTGATCGGTTGGAGGCGAGGATGCCTGAAGGCAAGGAGATCAGTCTGGAGGAGGGGAAAGCAAAGCCCCCGAAACTCTTGCACGAAGGCATTGACAATGGAGGTTGAAATCCCTAAGACTGGGAGGCCTTGAGGGGGCGTTCCTGGAGAGGCCTGACACTCAGGGAGGAGGCAGGTGGGTGGCGCGGTGGAAGTCACAGTGAGCCTGGGGAGGCAGGGATCTCCAGGGCACGGGATTTGAGACGTCCTGACTTCCGTGTGGAGCTGTCCAGTGGGCAGTGGGGTGGATGGTTTGGCGCTCAGGAGAGAATTCTGGATTGGAGACAGCAGATCTGATGATCTTCACGCAGGTGCCAATCACTGCCACGGGTGGCTGAGCAACAAGAGAAGCAAGACTCGGATAGAGTTTTCAGGGACAGCGACCTTCATGGGGCTGGTAGAAGGAAAGAATGCAATGCTGGATGCTGAGAAGTTGCCAGAAGGGTTGGAAGACGTCAGGAGGAAGAGGTGCCCCAGGAGCTAAGGAAAGAGGGAGTTTGAAGGATGGAGTTTGCACCTGGTCAAAACCTCACAAACTGTTTGACAGAAGGAAAGACAGAAAAGTGACCATCTGTTTTGTTCACTGAGTTGCCCCTTCCAGAGCATTCTGTGGAGAGGGGGGACACAGAAGTCTGGCTGAGAAAGGTGGCCCTGAGAGGAGCAAGACAGCGGAGACCACGAGGGAGTTTTCGGGGGTCCGTGGTGAGAAGGGAAAGAGAAGCTGCAGGTGGAGGGAGTTTGAGGCTTGAAGTTGGCTCTGACTGTGGAGAAATAAATACGCTGATATGCTGAGGAAGAAAAGTAAAAAAGGCAAGGGAGGTTGAAAGCCAGGAATAAGGGGCACCTGGGTGGCTCAGTCGGTGAAGGTTAAGTGTCTGACTCTGGCGCAGGTCATGATCTCACAGTTCCCGAATTGGAGAACCTCATCGGGCTCTCCACTGTCAGCGCAGAGCCAGCGCAGAGCCTGTCTCCCTCCCCCTCCCCGCTTCCCTGTCCTCTCTCTCTCTCAAAAACAAACATTAAAATCTTAATAAATAAATAAAAGGAGTTGCAATAGCATACCAAGCATGATATTAAAAAAAAAAAAAAAGTCAGGAATGAAAGCAGATGGTTTCGTGAACCACATCTTCCACGCACAGGAGAGGGGAGAATCCACAGGGTCCCTGAGAAAGGAAGGAGGGCCAGCCAGGTGAAGGTGAGCTTGAGGGAAGAAGCCAGTAGAGGTGCGGATGAACAGATTAAGGAGAGCTGGGTGCCACCAAGGACAGACATTTTACTCGGAGGAAACATGGCTTGCCAAGGGTCTAGGGAGTCAGAGATTGTGTCCTCACTCATAGCCCCTGTGTGCGCACTCCTCAATCTCCCCGCCCCCTCCCCTTCCTCCCTAGGTGCCTTGGGTGGGGAAAATGAAGAGTGATCAATCCAGCAGGCTCAAAAGAAAGCCAGAACCAGGCAACGAGGGGGTTCATACCCAGGCTGAAGGTAGAGGGGCATTTACTGAAGACAGAACAAGTTCCCAGGGAGTGCCATGGAGAGGCTGAGGAGGGTCCCAGCAAAGGAGGGAAAGAACAGAGCAGAGCGGAAGCCGGGAGCCACACTGGAGGCTGTGTGCTCAACATAAACAGGTGGTTTTTACAAAGTAAGTTGAATTCAGCCCACCATCACGTTAGAAGGCTGATTGCTGGATTTCAAGACAATGGATTGTTTGAAATCCAGCTTCTCTTCTTAAACCAAAGTGTGTGTGTGTGTGTGTGTGTAAATATGGCTATAGCCTTACGTCTTTGATAAGGGAGTCCTGTGGCAAGAATACTTTGTCAGCCTTTTTGAAAGTTTCCAGGCATGGAACTGTTTCAAAACATCTCTTCTGCGGGAGGATACCTTGTGTTTTGAACTCACCATGAAATCTCAAAGACGTCGCACTAAAGTAGTTTCAGTTTTCTAGCGGACCATATATTGTACTGTCCCTCTGCCCTGACCAATCCGTCTTGCCCCTACCCCAACCCCGAAACAAGAAAACAAAAATAACACAAGTGAGACTTAAGTTTCAGAGGCGGGTTTTTTTTTTTTTTTTAATGTTCATTTATTTACTGTGAGAGAGAGAGAGAGAGAGAGGAACCCAAGCAGGCTCCATGATCTCAGCTCGGAGCCCCACATGGGGCTCGACGCGGGGCTTGATCTCACGAACCATGAGATCATGACCTACGCTGAAATCAGGAGTTGGCCGCTTAACCGACTGAGCCACCCAGGTGCCCCTGTTTTCATACTCTTTTAGAGGCTTGTTCTCCTCTGCCAGGCATTATGGCCAATTCCACAGTTACTTTGTTATGTAGAGTTTTAAGGGAAATGTCTATTTGATTCTGCAAGATTTTATTTGTATAAAAATATCACTGGGGCCCTAATTATGGAACAGAACACAGGAAAGAATAACTTAAGAGTGTTGAAGAGTAGTTCTTCTTCACAGATCTGGTGTGTGGGAAGCCTTCCTTTACATTTTGTATCCCATCCCTGAGCCCGTCTATCTATTGGGCATTCACTAAAATGAAGAAATGCCATCAGCACTTTCCCATTCAACTTTTACTCCTCAATGTCATACACGGCAGTTGCCTCTGAAACTGATTTGACATTGCTTTTGCCCTCCCCTGGCCCTGTAAAGGAATCATATTCCTGTTATGCATTTTGATGCCATAAGGATAGATTTTATAGCTAAGGGGGAGAAGCTGATAGAAGAGAAATGATGTAGGAGGAAACATAACAATTTGGATGCTGGCATTTGTTGACCCCAGGAGTTTTTCACGAGGCTGGAGTTTTCGGTAAAAACTCCAGGACTTCCAAGTGTCATGTCTCACATTGGTGACGAAACAAGTAAAATTAACATGAAATCAGATCACATTTGTAAATAATAAAATAGTAAGTTACAAAGAGCGTTCAGTAAATAACATTGCGGTCATTAAGTGATACTTGCAATTTTAAGGGGGGGGAAATGCATTGATCTCTGCTTGACTCAAGGCAAATTACAACTAGAAGCCTATCCAGACATAGAATAGCTACAGCAAAGCCTTATCATTAATTTAGGCTACCATTACTGACTTGGGTTGCAGTCCTAGCTCTTTTTCTCACTATAAAGAACGATTTATACAGTTGACCCTTGCACAATGCAGGAGTGGTAGTACCCACCCCCTCCCCATTCTAAAATCCGCATATAACTCGTGCCTCCCAAAAGCTGAACTACTAATACGAATAGCCTAGTGTTGACCAGAAGCCTTAGTCATAACATAAATCATTGCTTAACATAGATTTTGTTTGTTATGTGTATTATATGCTGTATTCTTATGGTAAAGTAAACTAGAGAAAGAAAATACTATCAAGAAAATCATAAGGAATATAAAATACATTTATAGTACTATACTGTATTTATTAAAAAAAAATCCACATATAAGTGGATCTGCCCAGTTCAAACCTGAGTTGTTCAAGGGTCAACTATAGTATAAATACTTTCACAAGGGCCATGTTTAACCTGTTTAGGGGAATACATTCTTTAAATGACTTTAATGCATTTAGTTTTAGAAGAGCAAGTGCTTTTGTAAACTATGAGTTCAGACTCACTACAAGGATTTGCAAAGTTTACTGCTCTCCCTATTGGATTTTTAAAATTCAGACTTTTCTCTAATTCAGACTGACGTTCTTGTTTAAGGAGACTAATTCGGTAAGTTTATTTAATTCAGTAACTGTACTAGTGGAAAAATTCTAGCCAGTTAGGGAACTGTGTTTCCTAAATGGAAGGAATCCTGAGAAACAACAGATCACATTCTTTTTTTTTTTTTCTCCCAGAAAAGAAGTGGGCAAGTGAAAAGGCTGGGAAGCGGCATTTTAGGATGAAGAAGGGACCTGATGGTATTTTAAATTCTCGTTAGTCTGTTTTCCCAGTAAGATGACAAGATATGACAAAAAAGGACGGGGTCTTGCCAGCAGGTATGTGAGCAAATCCCGTCAGATGCAGTCTTCCTCGGATGGGCCACGCAGTGACGCGACTCTCCATACCATGGCCAGTCTCCAGAATCTAACGTGTGGCCCGCTTGCCTACAACAGTAGAAATACAATGCCCGTCTATTTGAGTTTGCTTCCATGTCTTTAACTGCAGATGAAGATACTTGGTTGTAAAATCATCCCCCGTCTTGGTCAACAGTTTTGAAAGATGCCCGATATACGTTCTTACCGCCACAGAGCGTGTGTCAAAAGGCTGAGGAAAGAGAAGCACGGACCGGGGAGTTGAGAAGGCCTTTAGAGACTTCTGGTCTAACCCTCTCACCTTATCAGGGAGGAAACGGAAGCCCAGAGACCCAAGGGGACTTGCTCAGCATTTCACGGGTAAGGGCCAACGTGGAGCCAGTTTCTTGACCACATCAAGGTGATTGTGCTCATTCAGAAGATATTAGTATCAATGGTTAATCTTGAAATTCACCATTTGACCCTCACTTTTCTTACGTGGACTTTGACTAGGTATCGACTGTGCGGGCAATGTCTGTGGTCACAAAAATTCACGGATCAATTATACTTTGGAGGACCAAAAGCTTACCTGCTACGACATGTCACCTTCCTTTGTACCACCAGCGCACCCCACTCCACTTTTATGGCACTTAACACAGAGTAATTCTTCTTCTTCTTCCTTTTTTACTGGTTTGTCTCGTCTACCAGGCTGTGAGCTTTATAGCTGTAGAGATCATGCCCTTCTTCTCCTTTTATTCCCATAGGGCCTGGTTCAGTAATTATTGAATGACTACATGAAATCCAGAGACTAAGAGAGAAGCAGCGGTCCCTTCGCGTGGGGTCTGGTGCAATTAAAAGCAGGCCCCGAAACCACTGGGCAAAGTCCAGGCTTGGCTTCCTAGCTTGGCGAGCACCCCTGTGCTCACTGTGGTTGCTCAGGAATCTTAATAGCTGACATGCACGGAGGCCTCAGGTGCCGAGCACGTTCTCAATGCTCTACATGCATTTATACTTCTCTTATCCTCACCACCCTGTGAAAAATACTCCCCCACGAGCCCCAAGTTACAGAGGACACTCAGAGAAGTTAATTTGCCTTGGTTTTAATACCTAAGCAATCTGAAGCAAGATCACGTGCGTTTAGCCCCTAGGCTATTCTGCAATAAACCAAGGACTGAAATCGACAGCTTGGTCCTTTTTTTTTTTTTTTTTTTGACCTCCAGGCCAATTTATATATTTGAAAATTTAACTGGCCAACCAGGAAGTCCTTCCTGAAATGTCCCCACACTGGACCTAAATATTCACCTCCCTCTGCCTTTTCTTTCGCCTTCCTCGGCCCCCTTTCTCTTCCTGTTGAGCTCCTCTTTCACCTCTCAGCTTCAAGTGCCAACGCCCTGAAAACCTTACCTGGTTTCCTCTCAGATCAGAATTAATCTCTCTGCTCTTAGGTGCCCTTTGTTTAAAGTTCATTTTTGGCACTTACCTCATCATCCCTGGGATGAGTCACCTGAATGTTTGTCTATCTTCCCGGCTAACCCAGAGCTCTGGGAGGGCAGGGGCTGTGTGCAGACTGCTGTCGCCTGTGTGGCGCTTGCAGGGGGCCTGCGGGACACTTAGTAGGTGGCTCAGGGTTTGTAGAAACGAGAGTTTTGTTTTTAAGAGGCTAGAGTCGCAGTCTGGAGGCTCCGTCTGTTTTTGGGGACGCGGGTGCGGGCTGAGATGCCCTCCCCCCTTGCCCCTCCTCCCCTCCCCCCTCCCCCTCCGTGACCCCCCCCCCTCCCCGCCCACTCCTGCCCCGGCTTGGCCTGACGCTTGGCAGCTCTCGGCAGGCCGCGGGGGCCTCTGGTGCCCCGACACTGGCCCCGGCCCAGTGGCTTCTAAATGCGGCCCGGAGCTACCGGGGGAACTGGAAAAACACTGGCAGGCCGCCCCACCCCCAGGCCCTGGCGGGGCCGGGCGGCCGCATTTCTGCGGCTCAGGCCTGCTGCTTGGGAGGCGCTGGGGCCCGGGGCGGGGGAAGCGGGGGAGGCGGCGGGGCGCGGGCGGCGGCCTGCCTGTCAGCGGGAGCGGGCGCGGGCTCGTGTGTCAGCGGCTNCCCCCCCCCGCCGCCGCCCGCCCGCGCGCCCGCCGGGCCTCCCGGCCTCCCGCCGCCGCCGCCGCCGCCCGCTCCCCCCGCGGCCTGGCAGGTTGCCGGCTGCACAGGCGGGGGTTCGCGCCGTTCTCACGACCTCTCAGGTTGCCTGAGCTCATCTGGGAGCTATTCATTTCCTGCCAGAAAGCAGCCAGGCCTGCTGAGCAAACCACCTTGGCCGCAGGGCCGCCGGGGCTGGCCCGGCGTGGCCGCCCTGGCCTGCTCCCGCCCGGGCCGCGGGCCCCGGCGGCCTCCCTGGAACCCCCGGGCCGCCCCGGCGGGCGCGCGGCGGGGGCGGCTCGGCGGCCCATCTGGTTGCACTTAGGAGCCGAGGAGGAAGCTAGCAGCGGGTTGTTACCGGCCAAGGGGTGTGGGAAAAGTTAATTGACTTTAATGACAGGTTTCCCGGGACGGTGGTGACGATGAGGGGCTCCGGTTTAACCCCTGGGTCCCCACTCCCGAAACACGTGGGGGGTGAAATGGGGCGCGAGAAGGGGGGCGCGCCCGGGGGGCGCGCTTATCCATTCGTCCTAGGCTCGCGTCTTGACCGGCGAGAGCTCCCCTCGCAGCTCGGCGCCTTTCCCGCTCCGGATGCGGCCCGGGACCGCGGGGGGCCGGGACCCGGGAGGGTCTCCATTGAGACGATAATCGCGCAGCGCCGGAGGCCGGCGGCCCGCATCCGGACGCGGAGCTGGGAGCTGGGCCTTATCACCGGGAGCCATCGGCCCTGCCCGGGGCGGGAGAGAGGGGCTGCCGGGTGTGTCTCCAGGCCGTAAACTAGGCCAGGCCCTAGGGGTCCGAGGGGTCCGAGTGGGAGGGGGGGGGTGCGCAAGACTGCCTTGTCTTTGAGGCTTCATTCTCCCTAACCCCCAAACTACTTACTACGGAAACAACCTGGGTGCAGGAGGGCACAAGGTCTTGGAAATAAACCCACTCCTTGGACTTGGAAATGTCCCAGATAAGGGAAATGACTCACCCAAAGGGACACAGTCAGCTCAGTCGCGTAGCTGGCAGAGGAGCCCGAAAAGGCCCATTGGGGCCTGGGTGGCCCCCCTTCTGCCCATGTCGTACAGAAACAAATGCCTCATCTAAGAGTCTAGACCCCAAATCCAGGGAAAAAAAAGACTGCTTTCAAATGAACAATTGTTTACTTCTTTTCCTTAAAGTTATGAATCCCCACCCCCGAGATCTTGCCACTTTTGTTATGAATAAAAATTCATGTATTTCAGTCGTTCCCCTTCAGCACAGGGAAAGACAGATTTAGTTTTAAGTGGGTGTGGAGATTGCACGTGTGTGTGTGTGTGTGTGACTTTTGAAGAACATAAATGTATTTTTATAAAAATGAGACCCTGATGTCTCATGTCAGGACGGTTCAGGATTTCTAGTGGGGCCAGAGGACAGATTTGCCAAATGAAACGTTTAAGCTTGTGCTGGGTGTCTTAATGGAGCAGTTGTTACTATGTTTGTGTTTAAACCAGAAGGAAATCACGGGAAAATGGTATGGTAGAGAGGGCTGTGCGTCTCTGTGTGTGTCTATGTGTGTGTACTTCTTGAGGGTGGGTGTTGGATACCTTTCACATAATGAGGCAAGTAGGAGCCAGATTTTAAGAACTATCTTTGAAAACTTTCCCTCTGGGTCTGAAGCTGGATCGAAGGTATTTGGGTAGAAAACTGCTGTCTGCTAGATCATTCCAGTGATAGAGCGGCTTTCCACACTGGCCTGTGGGAAAGGCCAGAGCAAGGCGGGGGAGAGGTAAAGCTTTTGAAACAAGACAGAAAATCGTTGGCTTTATCTTTGTTAGGAAGGCTTCAAAGATTGATTTCTCCCGCCTCTTCCTTCTCCCAGAAGCAGTTCTGAAAGAAGGGGCACGAGAGGAGGCCGGCGGGAGGGGCCGCGGCCGGGGAGGACTGGCCGGCGGTGGGGGAGGAGGGCGCGCCTGCCAGACCCACAGCGCGGCTGATGTGTCTGGTCTCGCAGGGCTCGTGGTTTTCATTTCCCCAACACCTGGATGCAGTCAAACACCTGGCCAAATCTGACAAAATCTGACAAGCCTTTGTGATGGGATTTGGAAGAAATTCCCTGCAGATCCTGGCACAGTTTAAAGCTGTCCGCTTTGAGTTAGGACTTGTTAAGGAGGGTTATGTGAGCTGAAACCCGAGACAACCCGTGTGCTTCTATCTGGAGCCCACATCTTGCCTGGAAATGGGGCATGACCAAGCGAAGGGGTCGCTTGCTGTTTGTATTAAAGGGAAGATGGCCTGTGTGCCTGCCAGCGCGGCCCCCACATGCTTTCTCTATTAGACCCAAACGCAGAAACTTATCAAAACCATATGTCTGGTGTTAATCATCTGGACTTGGGCTCCACTTGGGAGTCTAACTAGCTGTCCCTTGGCAGAAGGAATCTGTTGACCTTCTCAGCTTGCCTGAAGAGGGTGCAGAGAGGCATTTCAAACTTTTGGAGGCTGGTACAAGGCAATGTGTAGCTGCACCCAAGTATTGACTAATTAAACAGGCTCCAACAGCAGAAGACTGGAGGCTGCATCCAATTACTCTGGATGTGGTGTGCTGTCCCAGGGAAGTGGTGCTCAGGGGTCTCTCTTAATGTGTCGTGGGCACACGTTACTCGATTAACTTCATGACTTCAGTCCGGTTCAACCTTCTTCAGGGGAGCCAGTATGAGAACCGAGACTGAATGACTTACCCAACTGCAACTAAAAAAAAATGTTGAAATCCTTTAGGAGATTGACCACAAATTGATTAGAGTGGCCATAATAGATGAATTCTTGCAAAGTAAGTGGAATTTAGTTCATGGAGGGTTGGTAAAAGGTTTGATGGATTGTTAAACACGTTCTTTTAATAACAAAAGAGCCAATGACTGAATTCTCAGGTTACCCGTAATCCAAATTGTGCCAAGAACCTTTTTTTTTTTTTTTAACATATTCGGAAATAATCAGTTCTAAGACATAAAAGCCTTCACGCTTTTTTCTTTTATTATATTTTCTCAAATAAACTTCCCAAAAGGAAGATATTTTAAGAGCATGTTCAAACATCTTTGGCATCACATAAAAAAGAAATCTCGTGTAAAAAACGAAATGTCATCTGAACTTTTATAATACAAAGGCGCAATCCAATATGAACATATAAAATATATACAAATATAGTGCATGGTCAGTCACTTAATACAGCTCTCTACAAAAAAGTAACTTTTTAGAAATTAAAAAAAAAAAAAACAAACCCCAAAGTAACCACTTAATCACAAAAGTCCTCTTCTCTCCCAGCGTCCAAGTTCCTGCTGAGTGTCCCGAGGGAAGAGAAGAAGGTTGGGAGTTTAGGGGGAGGGGTGACCTGAGCCCCTCAGTTCCGCCACGGCCTCCACATGGAGTCCGCCGTGAGCGAGGGGCCGCTGGAAGGCGACACTGCGTTCGGGCCCACGGAGGTCCCACTGCTGCTGGTGTAGACTGGGATGACGGGGCCGCTGTGCGCGAAGGCCCCGTTGGGGATGAGGAAGGCAAACTGGCCGTCCGGAGCCGGCACTACCTGGAAGCCGCCGAACACCTTAGCCGCCTCTCCAGCCGGGCTGCCCAGCTTGCAGGGCGCGCCGCCGGGAGGGGGCGCCGCGCCCCCGGGGATGGGCACGAGCGGCGGCGGCGGCGCGAACGGCGCGTGCTGCGGGCCGCCGGGTCCCGGCGGGGGCGGCGGCGGCGGCGCCTGCAAGGCGGGGTGCGGCTGCCCGGGGTAGGTCATGGCGTTGATCTGGGTCATGCAGTTGGCCAGGTGGCCGAGCAGCCGGGTGCGCACCTCAGTGTTAACGCCCTCGCACGTGGACAGGAAGCGGGTCACCTCGTTCATGCACTCGCTGAAGCCGGCGCGGTACTTCCCCAGCACGCTCGGGTCTGTGCTCAGCGCGGCTGCGGGCCAGAAGGAGACAGACGGGTCACCCAACGGCCCTGGCCCCGACGCCACCGCCTCCGCCCTGGGAGGTCCCCGCGGGGCTCCTCCCTGACCACCCGCCCGCGGAACTGCCCCCGGCTAAGGGGGCGGTTGTTTAGAAAAACCGTCCAGCTGTCCACACCAGCTTGGCGACCGAAGCCGAGACGGTTCCTCTCCATTCCGGATCGCTCCATTTTAACCCGTTCAGCCTCACAACTTCCCCCGACCCTCCGCGCGCGCGATGTGACCTTGGGCAGTGCCCTCCACCCCCACCCCTCCCTGTCCCCGCCAACCGGGCCTCATTTCCCCTTCTGTAATAGGGAAGCGGGGAGTGCTAAGCCCGTTGTCCCCCCCCCCCCAGCCCCGCCACGGTTCTGCGTCTTTTCGTCGGCACCCGCTTCCTCCACTGCCAAGCCGCCCGCCACCCTCGCCGCTACAACCTCCCTCCCTCCCTTTCCGGAACAGTAACAACTTGGAGTTGTGGCTATAAATAAGCCCCAGACCGTGGGAACGCAAGAGTGAGCCAAGGCAGTAAAATGTAGCTGAATGCCTCTCACAACCACGGGCGGAAGTCTGGAAGAAATCACCGCGGGGCGAAAGGGACGCCCGCAGAGGGGGACGCGAGGCAAGCCGCCCTCACCCGTCATCTGCGCCCGCTGCAGGTTCCGGAGGTGCTTCACTGTCATTTCCAGAATGTCCGCCTTCTCCAGCTTGGAATGCCGCGAGCTCTGCGCGGAGAGGAGGCGATGCAGGAAAGTGAGAGCCCCGCCAGCCGCCGCGGTGCGCTGGGGTCCCTCCCCCACCGCCCCGGCGCCGCATCCCTACACCCGGGAGGGGCCCGGCCCTCCCGCCTCAGAGAACGCAGTACCGGGTTTCCGTTTAGTACCCGAGAAATAGTATTTAGTTTTAATAATAAAAAAAAAAAAAAAAACCAGGCAGCATTACCCACTTACATCTTTCTTAAGAGCATCCAAAATCAGTGTTTTCAGCTGGCTCAGACTTTCGTTTATTCTTGCTCTTCGTCTTTTCTCCATGATAGGCTTGGATGACTGGAAAGAAATAAAAAAAGAGCCCTGAGTTCCCATGGGATCTGCCATTTCACCCCGGGGTTGAAAGGAAGAAAGGAGCCCCCCAACCCCAACTTAATTTCTTAGGGCTGCAGAGAGATAGTGGTACTGCCCTTACCTTTCTGTGCTCAGATGCTGTCTTTGGTTTATCCGGTGTCGTGTTGACACTGGCTGGGGTAGCAGCCACCGGGGACGAGGAGTTTTTCTCCATTATATCTGCTGGCATTTTCTGTTGCTTTTTTTTTTTTTTTAAATCCCTAGAGAATTTTATTTTTGGAGTCCTTCACACAAAAAAATTGCTTTGTTTATGTCCCTTTCACTTGAGACTTTCACAAAACTACTGAGCAAGTGCTGAGGGTTTATTAGAATATCTTATGGCTACGTGGTGACCGGTAGCGCTATTCCAGGACCAAGGAGAGAGGTAGACGGGGGGATTCCAATGTTATCTGCACCAGCTCCGGATCCTGTGTGATCCCCAGGCCCTGGCGGCCTCTATATATATCTGGGACTGCACGCGAACGGCTCGTGTGAAACTTCCCAAACTTTCTTTCCCACAGTAACTTTCAGCCAATGGGAGGAGGAGACACGCGGCACCGCTCGTGGACCGCGCCCCCCCATTGGCCGCCAGGCCTTGTGCTTGGCGGCCAATGGCGCGCGCCTGAGCCCGGGGCACCGGAGGCTACAACGTCAATCAAAAGGATTTTAACCCTTTGCTATTCTCCCTGCTGGGCTTTGCTTTAGAGGGGATTTTCCCGCAGGTTTTGCTCCAGTCTAGCTTATTTCTTTTGGGGCCGGGGTCTTTGCTCTTTATTTCCTTTCACGTGGGTCGTAGAGCTGCTTTGATACTTATAAGAAGTTCATTTGAAATATATTTAAAAAAAAAAGATTTAGGAGGACAGGGATAAAAGAGAATGTGTGCAAGGGCGTATGTTACCAATACATCTAAGTGATTTCCCGCTCAGACTCTATACATTGGGGGAAGGAAGATCATGAAAATCGATCATGCAGAAAAAGGGCAAAAAAAAAAAAAAAGGCCTTTCGCATGCAGAGAAAGGAAAAAATGCCTCCTACCTTACATTTGCGATTTTTCAGAGCAAGGTGTTCTTTTTTTTTTTTTTAATTCCCCCCGCCCCCCCAATCCCCGCCTCTCATTCCGCTTCTGGAGTTGGGGCCTTGGCTCCCGCGCTTCCCCAGGAAACAATCAGAATAATTTCCAACTGGGCAGAAAGGAAATGGAATTTCAAATGAAAGATGAACAAGGGGGCTTTGATGGCAAGGCCTCAGGGACGCGCGCGCGCCCTCGCCACCCTCTTCCTTTCCACCCACAGTGTGTCCGCGCGTTGAGGCGGCGGGCCGGGCGGCAGCCTCTCCCTCCTCCTCGCCGGCGGGCGGCCGGGGCTGCCTCGCCACCCGGCGCGCGCGGCCCCTTTAAGAGCTACACCAGCCGAGCTGCAGTTTGACATCAGCCGGCCGGCGAGGGCGCGCCTGGAGCCGGAGCACGTGCCAGGATGTTTTATTGCCGCCGCGGCTGCGGCCGGGCCGGGAGGATGTGTGTGTGCGTGCGTGTGTGAGTGTGTGTGCGCGCGCCCCGGGGGCAGGGAGGCGGGGGGCGGCGGCGGGCGGCGGAGCGCGGGGGCTGGTTCTCGGTCCCCGGGAGAAGCCAAGAAGGTAAATAGCAGCTGCTGTGCTCGAGCCTGGGAAAACCCCGCCCCCTGCGCCTGGCCGGGGCTCATTGGCGCGCGCTGCGTGTGGGGGGTGTGTGTGTGCGTGTGTGTGTGTGTGTGTGTCCGGGGCCCCCTCCTCCGGCCCCCGCCGCGCCAGGAATCCGAGGGGGCGGCGGGCTGGGAGCCGAGCCCCGGCGCTTACCACCCGCCCCCCGCCTTTCCCCGGCCAAGGTCAGCCCTTCCGGGCGGGGAGCGCACGCCCCGGGGTGGATCCTGGGGAATTACTCCAACCCCCCACTCCACCCCTGATTTTCGGGCTTGGGGTTTTAACTCCGCCGAAGGCCTCGCTAGCAACAGCCCGGGGGAGGAGTGGGGGCATTCTTGTGTGCTCCTCGCCCCGGCCCGCCCTCCCTTCCCCCGCGGGGCCCCCGGCGCCCGCCGCGGTCACGAGATGCCTGACCGCACTTAGGAAGCGGCCGGGTCAGCCTCCTGCCTCCGCTCGGCGGCTGCGGTTAAAGCGGCTTCGCGCCGCCCGCCCCTTCCCTGGGTCCAGGGCGGCCGGGCAGCTCCCCCTCGCTGCGCCCGGGAGGCCGCCGGCGGGCGGCCGGGAGGAGGCGGGCGGCGCGGGCGGCTGCGTGCTGCCGGCTGGCCGGGCCGCGCGCCGGGAGGAGCCGCCGCCGCCGCCGCCGGGTGCCACGTGGCGGGCGCCGGGCCGGGAGCGCCAGGGCTCTGGCGGCGGCCTCCCTGGGGGATTTGCCGCGCGGGGCGGGCGACGCGCGCTGCCCCGGCCGCCGCCTCCCGCCCGCCCGGCCGCCCGGCCGCCAGCGCGGGTCGCGGGCCCCCGCGCCCCCACGCCCTCACCCTTCCCGCCGCCCGGGAGCTCGTCGCAGCCCGGGAGCCCAGCGTCTGTTTGATGTCGCGCCCTCCCCGCCCTTCTCCGGGCTCGGAGGCCGCCAGAGGCCTGGCACGCATTTCTCAGACACTTCATTCCCTCCTTCCTCCGAGCTCCCCGCCGAGATCATGTTGTAAACGGTGCCCCCAGATCCCGTCCGGGTGAGAATCAGCGGTTCCCGGACTCGGGGTGACCTTGGGCAAGCCCCCTCTGTTCTTTCACTCTGTAGCGCACGCTCGGTGCCAGACCCCGTGTTAAACCCCGGGATTGCCAGGAGGAGAGCCCCAGTGGCGCGCTGCGAGGACTTTACAGTCACCTGGAGGTGACTGTAATCAGACGGACCCTGATTTTCTGATTAATGACTAGATTCCTTTCTCTTTCGGGCTTAGGTGACGGCCTGAAGGAAACACTAAACCGCACCTTTATGGGCGACACTATCCATGGTCGACGGGGGGGGGGGGTACAGGGATGAACGCGGTGTTTATTTATTGCCCGCAGGAAGCCTGGAGCCTAGAGATACTATACTCATTAAGTGCAGCTGACATCTGTTTCCCAGTCTCTTTTTCTGGTAGGTTCCAGAGAGATATCTGTGTGTCTAGATCGAAGTAAAATGCTGTGGAGGTTTAGGATAACTAAGTTACTAATAAGTTGGGGTATCTTGGAAAGCTTCCTGGAGGATATGGCCTGTGCTTTGTTTCTTGGAAAATAGGGAGGACTGTGGCCCTGGAAATGTGGGGGAGGCGTTAGAGGTCTACACTCTGGAACCTGGAGTCCAGGGTGTCTGACAGGCAGGATTATAAGAAGGGACTGAAGGAGAAGGCTTGAGGCCAAGTCACAAGACCCTTAAATGTCTTGCTAAAGGACTTTAGCCTTTTCTTTGGACAATGGAGAGCCATGAAAGGCTCTTGAATAGAGAAGGGACATCAAGATTCTCCTTGAGAACGATGGCTCTGGCAGAAGTGTGGAGAGTGGATTGCAGGGTTTAGAGGCAGAGAGCCCAGTTAGGAGGTTCAGGCTGGTAAAGGAGGTTCCTAAGTGACAGGTGTAGACAGACTGACACCCAGAAGCACCTGCCTAGAACCAGCTCACTTGGGCGTTGGCTGTACGCTGCCCAGTGACCCAACGTCAGCAGTGACTTGCCTGCCCTTTCACGCAACGCCCCCCCAGGACCTGGAGTCTAACTAAAGAGTCATTGTGGCTCCGAGCGAATCTATCTTCCAAGCCTCATTTCCGTCTTCCAGGACAACCCTCAAGTCTGCCGCCGAACCTTTACCTCATTGCAGGCTTGGTTTACTCACTCTTGCCCCTCAGGCTACTCGCTGGGATTTTGTGTGAGTGTGTGTGTGTGTGTGTTTTCTTAACACGCTGCAGAGTGGGCTTTGCCTGATCATGTTCTGAAGAAAGAGTGAACAATGTCTCCTTTGTTGACCTGCACCCTGGGCCAATGGGCTCGGACTTTTCTTTCTTATTTTAAACAGATGGAAAGGTGGTGGTGATGACAGAAAATTGTCTGTTGCCTAAAAAAAAAAAAAAAAAAAAAAATGGCGTTTTCCTGGGTATTTGAAACGCTCTTGGTGAAAGGTGATGTGCCTGTGAAGCTACCCTCCTTTCTGCCGTGCAGGCTTCGCAAGCTTCTTAAAATGCTCTCCTCAGCATCTGACTTTTAAAAACTGCATAACTACTCTGACCCAGATTCTTCCAAGGCACTAAACCCTTCCCAGGGAAGCATGTTAACCCTTTCCAGGCCCCCCCCCCCCATTCTAGGAGAGCCAGTGACTTCCCCCACCAAATGCAGCTATGACATTGACTGCTGTCTGCTGTTGGGCACTCATTATCTAGCTGGTATGCCACCCCCTGGCCCTTGTAGCCTAACAGTCTTTTCTGTCCCCGACTCTGTCATCTCCTCAGGATTTGGAACCCTGAAGGTGCATGGAGAATGTTGAATATAGTCAAGTTAGGGTCTCACTGCAGTGCCTGAAGCAGCCTCATGCTCGTGGTTCAAATAGTTAATCGGCAATTCTTTTATTCCCACTTTAGGAGGCCTTAGGCTGGAAGGATGAGCAAATAACTTACACACCACACACACACACACACACACACACACACACACACAGAGTTTTTGAGGGACAGAGAGGTCAGTCAAGCAACCAGAAATTTGCCATGAATTTGTCTCTGGGCCAAATAGAAAACAATACAAAAACAAAACCCCACCCCATGAAATGTCTGGCCCTCCACCCTAACCATTCAAGAAGACAGTTTCTTTGCAAATAGACTTATATAATGTTTCAGTATCTTTATTTGGGTCAGGGAAGATAGGGTCAAGTTGACCCTCTCTCCAGCCCTTCTCCAATGGGGAACTAAGCTCCTACACTTAAGAGAAGACTTTTGGAATTGGAAGCCTCCTTCTTAGATAGAATAGCCTTTATATTTCTGGCCTCCTCCCACCGCCCCCCCCAAAAGCAAAGGGAAAATTGAACCCTGTTCATCAACAGAGGTCACTGCTTTGATCCCACTGTGGGAGCAGCGAAACACAAGGACTCTTCCCCACTGTATCATGCTGGATGAACACAACCAGGGGCCCGTCCCCCCCTTCTGGCCCACGAAGGGTGAGTTTTCTGGCTTCCTACATCACCTGTTTGCTCTAAACCATAAAACAAATAACTGTGCCTCTAGGGAGACTCCCCTTTGTCCCTAGGTATCAGCGTGGTTTGTGGGTTTGGTTTAAAAGCTACAGAAAAGACCGAGAGTGAGAGAAGAAAAAAGGTATTTTGCCTGAGGACTTGAAGCTTTTTTTTTCCCCTTCCCCCCCTCGTTTTCCTCCGCTTGACTGACTTTCTCACACTCGGATTCCCTGCAGCCTGCCAGAGCCGACCGAGGGAGCTGCCCTGCCAAGAGCCATGGGCTATTGAAAGAGCCTTGAGTGAGTACACACGGGGCGGATTTCTCCTCCCCTCCGTACCTGCTCTGCACCTGCACGGGGAGCAGTCCCACACATATCACCTGATCGCCGCCTTTTCAGAGACCGTGAGAAAAAGAAAGCCCAGGATAGAAGAGAGGTTTGTTGTCTCTCTGGAGCCGCGGGGCCAGCGTGCCCAGAAACGACACATTCTGGGCCGCTTGTGCGGTGGGCTGCGTGGTTGCCGGCGCGCGTGCCCCGGGGGGAAGGGGCCAGAAGCCGGGCACCACCTGCCGGCCGACTGCCTCGCTGCTTGCGTGTCCTGGCATCTGCCTGACGGGTAGCGTCACGATCCTTATCTAGAATCGTTATGTGATCCTTCTAGGGACGAGACCGTGTATGCTCATCACAGCAAAATTCACAACCAGGATTTCTTACCTTAGGGTTCACCGATGGACCCCCTACCCCGAGCCTAAAACAGTGCCTGGAATGGAATTCCGAATGAAGCCTACAGGCACGTGTGGCAGTAGCTTTATGTATACTTTTTTGAATGAATGAATCAGGGAATGAATGCATCATTTTTTTGCCCGAGGGGAGGATCCATAGCTTTCAGCAAAATTCCAAAGCTTCTTGTGACCCAGCAAGGCGGAGGAAACTGATCGAGGCAATGTCCACGTACAGGTTGTGTACTTTAAGCCCAGAGAGGGCACGGGACTGGCTTAAGGTTCTACAGCAATGTATGGCCAGAGTGGGAGCCCGAAGCCAGCTCAGAGCCCTGTGTCCATGGGACTTTTAGGGTGGGGTTTATGGAGTTGGGATCACCAACCCCGAAAGCCTGGATTTAAAACGATTAGGGATGCCTGGGTTGCTCAGTGGGTTAAGCGTCTGACTTCAGCTCAAGTTATGATCTTGCAGTTCGTGGGTTCGAGCCCCACATCAGGCCCTGTCCTGACAGCTCAGAGCCTGGAGCCTGCTTCAGATTCTGTGTCTCCCTCTCTCTCTGCCCCGCCCCCACTCACGCTCTGTCTCTCTCTCAAAAATAACATGGAGATGGGGCGCCTGGGTGGCTTAGTCGGTTGAGCGTCCGACTTTCGCTCAGGTCATGATCTCGCGGTTCGTGGGTTCGGGCCCCGCGTCGGGCTCTGTGCTGACTGCCAGCTCAGAGCCTGGAGCCTGTTTCAGTCTGTGACTCCCTCTCTCTCTGACCCTCCCCTGCTCACACTGTCTCTCTCTCTCTCTCTCCTAGAAATAAATAAAAACATTTAAAAAAAAACATGGAGAAAAATTTGAAACAAGAAATACAGTAGACACATTAATAAAACGTACTTTGAATTTCCAGAACCTTTTTTTTTTTTTTTAATTCTGAGGCACTGGTGCACCCAATTTTTGGACGGAGAAAGGGATAGGCAAGAAAGCCAAGTGTTTGTTAAGAGAAGAGGATTCGGGCATGCTTGGGACAAGACTCCTGGTTGCCATGAAGAGGCATTAGAAACAACCGCAAGTTTGCATTCCATCTTTGACAAAAATAAGTTGCTACTTCTGAACAAAACTGCTGGGCTGCTTTGTAGTCAGGCTTGGCCCTCGAACTGCGAAGGAGGTGGAGGCGGAAGCTTTCACCGCTGGCTAATTTCTGCCGCTCCCCCCCCTTCACCCCCCCTTGGAAAACTTGAGTGAGCCAGTTACTCAAAGTGTGGGTGCACTTTCCCAATGGGCCCTGAAAGGGGATGGTAGACAAGAAAGCCTTTTCCAATGGGGTGGGGGCAGGGCGCTCCGGAATGACTTCACTCCCACATTTGGCCCAGGCACGGCAGCCACGGTGGCAGCAGTGAGGTGGGAAGGCTCTTTTCTCCAGCCTTTGCTCTCTGAGCAGGGCTGTGGTGAGGCAAACCCGCAAGCCCAGAGACGAAGGAGTGCGTTCCCCAGGGGCCACACAGACACTAACCTGCACCCCTGTGTGTGAAAGTCTCAGAACTGCACTGGGGCTGGTGCCTGAGGGGGTTTCTGGAAGGTTCAGGAAGGTCGGATGAAGCCTAGCCCCTTGAAACCCAGGACATGCATTTGGTTGGCTTGCTGATAGCTGGCTCAAATTGTGACGTCAGATCCAGTTGCCCAAAATATAAACACCAGCAGCAACAATAACAAACGCACCTAGCCCGGAGAACCATGTAGGCAAAACCCAGGGCCTGAGAGTGATATAGAATGAATGTATGCAACCTATTTTTAATTAAAATCTTCATTATTATTATTATCCCCACATCACCTCTCGCTGCTTGTAGGAAAAGGATTGGGGGAGGCAAGGGAAGGGACCTGAGAGGTGGTATAATTGGGCCGAAGAAGAAGTAGTTGACTTGCCCAAGGTTCAACGCCTCCCCAAGGGGAAATAGCAAAGCCAGAATGAGGCTCAGATTTTCTACCCACCAGTCCAGAAACCTGCCTCACTATATCTCCATAAGAACCTGTGGAAGTATCATGCAGAGCCAATGGCTAGCATCACCACCGAAGATGGATTTTCCAGTTGAGCATCTGGACTACCTGACAGTGAGCGATTTGGGTAGTGTGACAGGCTACGCCCAGCCCAGAGCGTGGCTAAATTCCAAGCTTGCTGCACTGTGACTCTCCCTCGGATTTGCCTATCACCCTATAACCTCTGGAGAAGGAAGGATCTTGATTTCTGAGTTCCGGGATGATAGGAAGCCACGGGCAGGGGCCACGCTGGCTCTCAGTCAGCCAGCCAAGCCAAGTCGCACGCCATTGCTCCTTTTTTCTAACTGCCAACCTGTTGCCCTTATTTGTGCTCTAAAAGGAAGATGTGGGGGCAGGGAGGATACATCTAACCCCTGACTCTGTGCTTCATCAACGCTAGGCTCCTATCAAGACCGGAGGAGACGTGGCGCTAGGCATATCTCGGTGATGTGGGAGCACGAAGACGTTGAGTGGGGTGGCTGACGTCACACTGAGCAGAGGGAAAGGTGAGAAAAAGAATGGGTTTTCCAAGCGGTTGGTAGATGGCATTTGCGCGTGCCATGTGTATTTTCCTTTTAGACATCAGGTTCAGGAAACAAGAGAAAATGGTTTAGGCAGTCACTGCGGCTGGAGCTTGACTGGTGGTTTCCAGTATGGTTGGGGCCTTCTGGTATCGTCCACAGAGTTGGAGGTGACTGTCCCCCGCCTCACAGTTGCTGGACAGTTGACGGTACTTTCTAGTCCATTACGGCATTTTGCCCTCATCTATGGTTGTCTGATCTAGACTAGCATGGTTTTCATGGGAGGCCCGGGGAGGGAGAGAACGTTCAAGCGGTTGGTGCCGGAGACCCTTGGCTAGGCCATGGGCTGTAAGGGGCATGGGATATAGGACAGGCAAGCTTTCTAGAAAATAGTACCTCTAGAGAGACACGCTGGGCCAGGGAGCTTAGCAGCGGGCGGAGAACCAACTTTTCTTTCTCAGCCACAGGCAAAAATACAATCTCCAGAAGATGGAAGAAGAGAGGTCCGTCAACTTGGTATAGAATATCAGTAATCCGAAGGACACATCTTTGGGAACGCATGTGGGGGGAAACTAGGAGGAAGTGTCCTTTCTTGTGGTGGGGAGCGCGGAGAAGAACAGAGGCGGAAGGCGACGGAGCGTGTTCTGGAAAGGTTACAGAAAAGGCGATGACCATAGTCTCCCCCGGGGCGGAGGCTGGAGCTCCTTTTTAGTTCAGCATCCAGAGCCTTCTGAGAGGGAAACAGGGCCTGTGAGTGAGGGCCCTGTAGACCCCTGGGGCCCACGTCACTTTTCCTCAGGAGCTAGTTTGTTCTGTGCTGTTTGTACTGCTGTATTAGGAACATAAACTCCCTGGAAAAGGCAGCGGGATTGTTTGGGGGTGATGGCAGGGAACGAGGGCCGTGGGGAGACCACACCCGCCCTGTGCTTAGCCTGAGGGTGGCGGTCCCAGCGAGGAGGTGGCTGGGTAGCTCAGAACACAGGGGGAGGTGAGCCCCTGGAATCCTTCCGGCGCCAGGGAAAGGACCACGGAGCAAGTGTTCGACTCCATCTCCCTGACCACCCACATACCGCGGTGCATTTGGGGGTCCCCTCGGCCCCACTCCGTGTGAGGCGTTTGTGAGGTGGGGAGAAGGAACCTCTCCTTTTGCAGGGCTGGACTTCCACGGGCCAGCCTTGACTGAAGCCTGACAGGAGGCTCTGCTGTGACCCGCTGGTGTGTGGCAGGCTTGCCTGAGTGACGAAGGGCTCTTGATAAAGTCCCAGAGCGTCGCCAGCTTCTGGAGGAGGTTGTCAAGCCGTACGTGTATGAGACCCGCATCCAGCTGTGCCCTCGGTCTCGCTAGGCTTCCATAGCCACGCAGGGACCCAACGCTCATGTTCAAGTGCTTGACCATCTTGTCCTCAGTGGCGAGTCAACTCCGCACCCACCCTTCACCTGTCCTCAAAGTCCTGGTGCTTGGAAAGGACCTAGACTTGGTGTCTAGAACTACTTGTTGGCTGCACGGAAGGACAGAGTCCCAGCTTGTTTTCTTTGAATCGACTGGACGTGGGTGATGGCAGCAATGTAGTTCGGGCAGGGACTCTAACTATCCTGTTCGCAACTGCCTGTTTAACTTAATTCAGCTCTGTGACTATTTTTGAGTACCTCCTACGTGTCAGGCACAACTACACACCTATTTTGACAGTTAACTTCCATCTCTGCTGTTACTCAAATGCCGGTCATCTGTGCAGAGTGGGAATATCCCAGGTTTCCATTATAAAACTTTCCCCTTTGCTGCCCACATTCTTCGTGTCTATTGCTTCTCTGATAAAAACCAAAAACCAAAAACAAAAACACCCAAAAACTATGACCTCTTTATGGCGTCTGGCACCCTCAAATATTTGGAGGATAGATGCGTGAATGAACTTTGACTTGGGGAAATAGGTTTTTCAGGGGAATTCTCAGAGGGTCAGCATATTTTTCCAAAATTTCCTTGGTCACTGGATGAAAGGGGTTGGTTTATTTTAACCACTCCTGGTGGCCACCTCTGGACAGCTGGGCTGTCCCCTGCAGACAGCTCTACTCTGTTGCAGTCAGGTGAATTTCGAGGAGTCTGTGGCTGTCCGTGTTTTCCCAGGCCTATCTTTATTGATGGTTATTAAAGGCACACCAGCACATGGCAATATGAAAGTACAAAGCAATTCCCAGGGTAAGGTGCGTGGGAAGGAGCAAGATACTGAGCTCCCAAACCATTCCACTGTAATCACAATCTGCCAAATCGATGTAGAGTTAATCAGTAAGATGCAGGCAGCCGGGTGCCACTGCTGGGCAGCAGATAGAAAGGGGGAAAAGGCTGGAAGGGACATCAGTGTTCCTACCGGAAAACTGGGAAAGAAAATGAGAGGAAGACCCCTGGGAAGGACCGTCTAGTGGGGAGCCACCCACATGGGTGCAGAAGGCCACAAACGGTCCTGAGGAGGGACCACTGCTGACCTCTTCTCCGGCCCTCACGCTCTGTTCACGCCAGCCCCTCGTGGAAGATTCTGTGTAACCAAGAAAGATATAGTCATCCTGCTCAGACACTCTGGGTTAAATAAGTATAAATAAATACAGTGCAAAAAACACCCGTTTTTATAGAGCACCTCAACACACCTGTTGTTTTACGACGCCGATGGTATTGATAAGGGGGCTATAAAGCTGAGGCGAAATGGCCTCATATTTAAATAGCAGCTTCCTCTGTGAACTTCAAGTGTTTTACAGCTGAGAGTCGACTGACCTGGTGATCATTTCTGTTAGGAATGTGGAACACACATCTCTCTGTATGTTCAGGGAAAACTATAGCAGTGCTGGCTAAAAAGCATAGACTCTGGGGCCAGACTGCCTGGGTTCATGCTTGAGCCTGTTCGCCAGCTATGTGACATAACTCTTCTGTACCTCAGTTTACTTACCTGTTAAATGGGGAGACAGTGCTCACAGGATTGCTGTGAGGGCTAAGATCTATAACATGCCTAGAACGGTGCCTGGTGTATTACAAATATGCTGTAAGTTTTCGGCTCTTCTAGCACTGCTCTCAGTGTATCTCTGCCGTGTAAGATGGGTAGCCTCATTGATCTGAAAAAATTCACAAGGTGTTAATGTTTTCCAAGAAACGGATGGACGGCCACTGTGGTTAATTGGTCTGCGAGTATTTGACAAAATCAAAGGCTTCATTCAGTCAGTCCCGCAGGCCGTGGAACCAGGAGAAACCTAAACAAACCTATCTGGCTCCTCCTCCTCTGCCAGGAAAGTGGGTCCCTTCCACCCGCGTACTGTGGTTGCGGCTCTGTGGGCTGTCGGGTGGGCCTGCTCTGCATGACTGACACAAGCCTCAGCCCCACAGAAAGGGGAGTTCTGGGCGCAGACAAGGGCATCAGTGCGGGCCTGGCACACAGGATGTGTGGGCTCGCCACCCTCCAGCCCGGGCCCTGCCCGCCCCCGCCCCTGCCCGCAGGGCAGGAATGGGAAGGGCTGGAGAGCGACGCTGGGTCCCCAGGAGCAAACGTGGGCAGGCCCTCCCCGGATCCAGTCACACTTACGTGAGACACGACTGGTGGCGAGATGCATGTCTGAGGCCTGCGCCCGCGGGTTCTTATAGATGACCTTAGAGTTTACGGTCCCGACTGGGTCACTTTTGAGAGCGAAAGGTCGCGCTGTTAACAGTCGTGTCAGGATGCCTGCTGTGACCTGGGACTCCTGGCCATCCACGTTCTGTGGTCCATTGTTTATCTGTGTATTCAGCTGTCCTTTTATCAGAGGGCCGTCCTAAGAAGAAATTTTATTAAAACTTTTTTTTTGTTTAAAAAGTTTTATTTATTTTATTAAGTTTGTTTATTCTATCTGTTTGTGTTTGAGAGAGCGCCAGAGGATCAGAAGCGGGCTTTGCGCCGACAGCAGCGAGCCCGACACGGGGCTTGATCTCAGGACTGCGCGATCGTGACCTGGGCTGAAGTCGGACGCTCGGCCGACTGAGCCACCCAGGCGCCCCTTTTAAAAATGTTTTCCATTAAAAAAATATATTTTTAAGTTTATTTATTTATTTTGTGAGGGAGAAAGCACGTGTGAGCAGAGGAAGGGCAGAGACAGAGGGAGAGAGAATCCCAAGCACACCCACACCACCAGCACAGAGCCAGATGCAGGGCTCGATCCCGTGAACCATGAGATCATGACCCCAGCCCCAAATCAAGAGTCGGACGTGCAACTGGCTGAGTCACCCAGGCGCCCCAGAAGAAATATTATTTTTAACTCACTAATATTTTAGGACTTCTGTGCCTTCGATCTACCAGTGAGGCCATTGTTGAGCCTAGAGAGCCTAGTGTAGACAGGAGAAGAGAAAGATGGAGGGAAGCCCCACTGGGGTGGGATGGTCACTTGAAGTATGTTTGACAGGACTTGTTTCTTCTTGGATAGAGCGGCTGTGCCTTGAGCTTCCCCGCCTTCCAGGCTGCACCGGGTTGTGTGCCAGCATGGCGATGCTACCAGAGGCTTCCGCACCTGCCACGCAGGGCTGAGAACGTCCATTCCCCTTGGACGTGTGAATGCCAGGACAGCAGGTGCCATGATCTGAAATCCAGGCCATTGTTTAATGGCAGAAGGAAGACCCCAAAGGAAGGAGCTTTTTCCCACCCAAACTACTTGCCCCTTTGGTCTTGAATTTGACTAGGTTCTTTTACGGAAAGTAACAAACAAAACATAACAAATAAAACCACAAAACACAAAGTCAAGGTCTGCTCTTTGTTATTTCCTTAAAAAAATTCAAGAAAGAAAAGAAAATTGGGTCCCTTGCCTGAGCATTCTCCTATGTGCCTATTTAATGATTAATAATACCTTGTGGGCTATTGTTTGATGTGGCCTCTGCTGGTTTGAACAGGAGAATACTGATTCACTCCTAAGGCATTTATGAATCACAAGTGTTTACCCTGAGACAATAAATGAAAGGGGGAGATTAAAAAAAAAAAACACCCAAATATGCTGAGTTCTTTGAGCAAAAACTGGAGGTAACAGGGATCTCAGTCTTTGATACCCTGTGTGGAGCCCTGTTTTCTCTCACAGAAGAAAGATGGTGTAGAATGAGGGGGCTTTTGAGTTTTATAGATTTTTTTTTTCCTTTCACTTGCTGATACAGTTGAGGCAACTTTTTCCCATGTTTTCCTTCCTTCCTTTCCTTTCCTTCCTTTCTTTCTTTCTTTCTTTCTTTCTTTCTTTCTTTCTTTCTTTCTTTCTTTCTTTCTTTCTTTCTTTCTTTCTTTCTCTTTCTTTTCTTTCCTTCCTTCCTTCCTTCCTTCCTTCCTTCCTTCCTTCCTTCCTTCCTTCCTTCCTTCCTAAGTAGGCCCCACCCCCCAAGGTGGCCCTTGAACGCAAGACCCTGAGATCAAGACTCACAAGCTCTACAGCCGGAGCCAGGCCCTCCCCTAGTTTTGCAGGTCGTATGCACTCTTCTCCTTGCCACCTGTCTGGTCATTCCGATGGCAGTTTACAAGGGAGTTTTTCTACTGTTGTTAGGGACTCGGTGTCCCATGTCCCCCTCACTGCCCACCCCTGAGGGTGGCTCCACAGAAACCCAGAGGGGAAGACGGAGACCTGCCTTGGCCAAAGTGAGGCTGGAGAGGGTAGGTTCAAGAGACCAAGAGACTTGACAGACCTCGGGGTCAGACCGGACTAGGGCGTCTAAGGAGTCCAGAGGTGACACCTGGTTTGTCACTTGAACAGCGGCTCCACTTGCAATGGTAGGCTTATCCTCCCTTCTTTCTGCCTCCAAGTCAGTGAAAAAAGACAGCTAAATTTGCCCCTGGTGACCCTTTAAGTTTTTTTCATTTTGAAATGATTTTTTTAAATGTTTAGTTATTTATTTTGAGAGAGAGAGAGAGAGCGAGAGAGCAGCAGAGGCGCAGAGAGAGAGGAAGAGAGACAATCCCAAGCAGGCTCTGTAGCTGTCAGCACAGAGCCCGACGTGGGGCTCGAACTCATGAACCATGAGATCATGACCTGAGCCGAAGAAGCCAAGAGTGGGACCCTTAACCGCTGAGCCACCCAGGCGCCCCAAGATAATTTTAGACTTACAGAAAAGTTGCATCAATAGTAAGAGAGCTTTCTGATACCCTTTAGCCAGCTTCTGGGGCGCCTGGGTGACTCAGTCGGTTAAGCGTCCGACTTTGGTTCAGATCATGATCTCATGGTTTGTCAGTTTGAGCCCCGCGTCGGGCTCTGTGCTGACAACTCAGAGCCTGGAGCTTGTTTTGGATTCTGTGTCTCCCGCTCTCTCTGATACCCTTTAGCCAGCTTCCTCTCTGTTCAGCATCTTCTATCACTATGGAGCCATCATCAAAACTAAGCAAATAATCTCGGTACAATGCTGTAAACTACAGACTTCATCTCACTATTTTTTTGTATTCGTGTTTTCTTTTTCTCCTAGGATCCCATCCAGGATTCCACATGCATTGAGTTGTCTGGTGTCCTTAGTTTTCTTTCACTCTATGACAGTTCCAAAGTCTTTCCTTGTTTTCATGATGCTGGGATGAGTACTGGGTATTGTATGTGAGGCAATTTGACAATACATTATATTAAAAATAACAATAATAATAAAGAGAGTACTGATCAGCTGTTTTGTAGAATATCCTGCTGGGCTCCATCTGATGGTATCTCACGATCATGTTGGGGGGCTGTGTTCTGGGGGGAGAATGTCTCAGAGGTGGTGTGCCCTTCCTGGGGGGGCTACGTGACCTTGCTCTACATCACTGCTGCTGTTAACCATGGTTATGGGGTTAAGATGCTTTCTGCCGGGACTGCCCATTGTAATTCCTATCCACAGGAAATGACAGTTTCCCCCTTCCTGTTCCCCACATGTTTTGGGGGTGATACTTTAAGATTCTGCAAATATGCCATTTCTGCTAACACATCTGCCCAGCAAATTTAGACTCTGTTAAAGGGCCTTGCCTGTGGCAACGATTGTGGTAGTAATCTAATAGTGGTGTGTGATTTCCCTCATTCTTTCTACATTTACTAACTGGACCGCTCTTTAAGGAGGAATTGCATTATGTTACACTGTAATAAAGCAGAAATAAGAAATCTGTACTCTTGAGTGAAGAGTCCAACTCTTGATTTCAGCTCAGGTCATGTTATCATGGTTTGTGAGTTCGAGCCCCGCGTTGGATTCTGTGCTGACCTCATGGAGCCTGCTTGGGATTCTCTCTCTCCTTCTCTCTGTGCCCCTCCCCCTGCACCTTCTCTATCTCTCAGAATAAATAAATACATTTCAAAAATCCATACTCTTTTGGAGCCTACATTTTAGATGGAGAGAGAGACAAGCAAACTCAATTGAGTGTGTTAGATAGTATATTAATAGGTGACAAGTATATCGATAGGTGACAAGTACTATGGAGAGAAATCAAGTGGGGGAGGGGAGACGAGAAGTACTGGGAGCAGCACATTGAAATTGCAAGGTCTTCCTCTGAGGGAAGGCTTTAGAGGGGAGACTTGACGCAGGGGAGGGAGCCAGCGTGTGAATATCTAGGGGAAGCTTTCTAAAGAGGAGAAACAGCAAATGCAAAGGCTCTGGGGCAGGACCACGCCTAGCCAATGGGCTCTAGGGAAGTCAGGAGGCCCGCATGGCCGGTGCCAAGTGAGCTTAATGCAAAGGGCAGAGAGGGGAGAGGAAGCAGAGGCTGCCAGTCCAGATGCTGCAGACTTGAGGCCGTTCCAGCGGCCTGGCTGTTGTTCCGAGGGAGACAAGGTTTTGAGCAGAGGCGTCACAGAAAATGCTGCATGTTCCTAAAGGATCCCTTTGGCGGCCCTGTGGTAGGCAAGGACTCAGGCAAGGAGACCACAGGTAGGAAACTATATCATTTATCCAGGAGGTGGTTGTCTTTCGGATATATTTTGAAGGTAGAACTGCCACTGCCGAGAAGAGGCTCCCTCGTGGCCAACAGCGTCAGGCTCCCCCCAGGGTGCATAGCCTCTCCCCCCGCCCCCCACCCCAGACCTTGAAGTGGGGCTTCAAGCACAAGTTTGTAAAGTGAGGTCTGGCACTTGGAGCCTAGGCCCTGCAGCCTCTCTTAGGAGCCCTGTGTCATCCGGGTCCTCCTTGCATCTGTCTGCCCAGCACCGCACTCTCTGCCCCAGGGCCAGCCCACCACCATTTGCTTCCGGTCTCCCAGCTCTCAGCGCCCTCTGCCAATCAAGTTCCTTCCCATCTTCCCTGACGCAGCTCTGCCCCCTCCGCCCTGCCCTCTGAGCCCCCCCCCCCCCAGGCTGGGGACACTCCACCTCCCCCCCTCCCCCTGCGCAGCCCCTGGAGACAGACAGACACCACAGGTGCACCTGAGCCTCGAGGGCCCTTAAACACGGGAACTGGCACCAAGAGCTTCATCAGTGGTTAGTTGGCATTGGCATATGGCATACGTTAGGAAAGGACCTATTAGGTTTCCTTTTAACCATGGAAGTACATTTTGCGTTCATTAGACTCCACGTATATTCGTATTTCTTTCTTTCTTTTTTTTTTAATTTAATTTTGAGACAGAGACAGAGCACTAGTGGGGGAGGGTCAGAGAGAGAGGGAGACACAGAATCTGAAACAGGCTCCAGGCTCTGAGCCATCAATCAGCACAGAGCTGGACGCGGGGCTCGAACCCACGAACCGTGAGATCATGACCTGAGCCGAAGTTGGACGCTTAACCGACTAGGGCGCCTGGGGCACGTGGGGCACGTGGGGCACGTGGGTGGCTCAGTCAGTTGAGCCTCAGACTCTTGATTTTTGGCTCAGGTCATGATGCCAGGGTCCATGATGAGCATGGACCCTGCTTGAGATTCTCTCTCTCTCTCAAATAAAAAATTAAAAAAAAAAAAAGTTTCTGCCTCTCCTTCTGCCTAACCCCTCACATAAATTGAAATTCCACATTTCTTCAGATTGGGCCACCCTGTACCCACGGAGGGGTGCTGTAAAAATTAGTTTGAGAAGTCAGGTGAGGGGTGCAGGAAGAGGCGGACATCACTGGGGGTTCATTGGCTGCTAAGGAGTTTCTCTTTATCTATTGGTTGACTTACCTTTAAAACATGCATACGGTTAAACATTTCTAACAGTACAAAACGGTAGAGCCTGAAACGTCACCCTTCCGCCTGTGGCCCCCATCCTGAGCCCTGTCCCAGGGGCACTCCTTTTTTTTTTTTTTATAATGTTTACTTATTTTTGAGAGAGACAGAGACAGAACACGAGCAGGGGAGGGGCAGACACAGAATCCGATGCAGGCTTCAGGCTCTGAGCTTTTTTTTTTTTTTTTTTTATAATGTTTACTTATTTTTGAGAGAGACAGAGACAGAACACGAGCAGGGGAGGGGCAGACACAGAATCCGATGCAGGCTTCAGGCTCTGAGCTGTCAGCACAGAGCCTGAGGTGGGACTCGAACTCACAAACTGAGGGATCATGACTGAACTGAAGACAGACGCTTACCCGGCTGAGCCACCCAGGGGCGGCCACTCTCACTCATCCCTTATATACCAATCCGGGGATTGCTAATGAACAGTCAATGGCTGGGAGCCGAAAGTCATGAGTGATTGAAGGTAAACTGAGGCACTGTGAATCCCAGCCCCCAGCAATGCACTTCCAGGGTTGAAGCAGCTTCCACGCAGGAGGCTCAGCTAACCCGCCATTTTTATTCTTGTCTTTGGTTCAGACCCCCCAAAGCGGAGTTTGTAAAGACTCCACATGCCTGTGGAATTGGGGGCA